GCTTTGGTGTTCTAGGACCTGACAGCTTTACTCGGTCTCTTCTCATGCTGAGTTTGCCCACTACAGACAATGACAGTGCATGTGATTATCATGTGAGTCTTTCCCCCTGAAATGTTGTAGTTGGAGGAAGGACAGGGAGTTCCTGGGGGACACAAATGGTTAAGCACTCCACTAGCCAAAAGGTTGACTGCTTGAGCCCAGCCAAAGGCACCTCAGAAAACAGGCCTGACAACCTGCTTCGGAAAGATGACCATCATGGAAACCCTGTGGAGCTCTGTCCTGCACACATGGGGTCACCATGTATTCGAATTGACTCAGTGACAACAACCAACCAAGGAAGGACAGTAATAGGAGTTTTATGAACTTAAAAATTAAGCAGAATTCCCGAGGATACGGAAGCCCACTCAAATGTGATGAAACTGTTGCCAAGAGTTGAAGTACTGGTGTGTTACTTAAGCTGAAAACTAGCCAGGGCCATGACTGAAATGCTGGCATTTCAGGCAAAAAGAAAATTCCTTCCAGTAGGTGACATAGAAGATAAAGGGTACACTGTTAACAAAAACTCTGGCTGTTTGAGGGAAGCCAAGGGTAGCAGCAATCCGACTCTTCTTGTTGAAGGAGAAATCTCATTTCTGGCCCACAACGAACACAAATATCAAGGACAACACTTTCAAAAATATCAATGGATGCATTTTGCTAAAATTGCCTTATATGGTCATCCTTCACCAAGCTTGGTGTTTTCAGGTCATCAAAGTACCGAACTAAGTGGCAGAACCGTAGTTGGCAAGATCAGGGTTTCATAAAGCAATAGACAGCTGGACGAAATAATAAAAGGTATATTAACATATGGAGTAAAAACAGTAAGGGAAAGTTCTAGAGTGCAGTAACCCTCAAAATAACCACTGTTTAATGGTGAGAGTGGCCACAGGTGGGTGACCTTTTTAAATTTCCTTCTTCACTAGTGTGGGAGACATTGCAGCAAGCCTGGTTCATTTCATGTATTGGAACCAGCCCTCATGGGCTTGAGATGAAAAGCTGTTTGCAATGACTTGCTCACTTGTGCTTTCTGTCTCTCTCTTTTGCTCCCTCTCCTCTCTCTCTTCTGTCTTCTTTCCTCTCCCTGTCTTTAACACAAATTTAGGCAATTGTGGAACCTCCTAGCCTTTCACAAATTATGCCAGAATTTAAAGGCAATTTCTGAAGTCTGATCTTCCATCCCAGATTATTTGGGAACGTTGGTCTGAATAATCTCCTTTTCTCTCTCGTTTCTAGATGCTGCCTTAAAGACCTGCAGGGTCTACAAAGGAAAGAGTAATAATTGTGAATTATTTCTCTGAGGAACTAGGACAAAAATAACATGATCGCTGATTTTATATTTTTAGTAACAAGTATAAAATAGTATTCTCTCAAAATTGGGAGTGAGGTCATTGCATATAAAATGCTAAAAACCTTGCTGTTTATGAGAGATGCTACGAGAGCAAGAGAACACATGTTGCCTGAGTGCATAAGAAAGAATAGAGAGACTGGGGGAGGTGGCCAGTCAGGGAGGAAGAAAAATGAAAAGACAAATAAGGAATAACTTTTGGCTCTAAGTGAATAAAATTTCAGTGAAGGAGAATTCAGACAGAAACTAGGACCTGCTGATCTCCACATTTTCAGAGCTCAAACCAAGGAGAAGTAGACCCAGGTTGCAACACACAGTATACAAACTAAACCATCGGAGTGGCTGAACAGGGAATGTTGTTGGGTTCAATCCAGTTGATTTCAATTCATTGTAACCCAATATAACAGAGTAGAACGCTTCGGTTTTCTAGGTGTAATCTTTACGGGAGCAGATCTCCTTGTCTTTCCCCCAGTGGAGAAGCTAGGTAGGTTCAAACTCCCACTCTTTCAGTTAGCTACTTACTGAGCGCTTAACCGCTGCACCACTAGGACTCCTTAAACAGGGGATTTGTTGTTGTTTTTATGTGCCATCGAGTCAATTCCAACCCATAGCAACCCTATATAGGGTTTCTGAGGAGCGGCTGGTGAGTTTGAACCATTGACTGTGTGGTTCAAACGACTTTGCAGTCCAGCGCAGTAACCCACAGCACCACATCAGTTAGGACTTAGTTCAGCTATGTCTTAACTATCTAATGTTGCTATAACAGAAATACCACAACTAGATGGTTTTAACGAACAGACATTTGTTCTCTCATAGTTTAAGAGGCAAGAAGTCTGAATTCAGAGCGCTAGCTCTGGAGGAAGGCCCTTGTCTCCTCTCAGCATCTGTAGGCCCAGCATTCCTTGGAGATCTTTCCTGGCTTGTAGGAGCTTCATAGTGCAGAGATCCAAAGGATGCACTCCACTCCTGATTCTTCTTTCTTGGTGGTAGCAGGTCTCTCTGATTCTTGCTCACTTCTGTCTCTGTGTATCTCTCATAAGTAAAAGGTGTTGCAGGACACACCCCAGGGAAACTCCCCTTAAATTGCATCAGGGCTGTGATGCGATCAAGGGTGTTGCTTGAAACAAGATGAAAGATCACATGGAAGACAAGGTGCCAGGCAATCCAGGGCTGGTGTGTTGGCTCCGAGAGCTCCTTCAAGTCACTGCTCCATCATCACTGTGGTGTGGTCTTCATCTTCGTTGCCCAGGATGGTGTTGGGGCTCCAACCATCACATCTTACCTCAAAAGCCCTACCACTATTGCTGATAACCCTTCCTTGGCCAGAACTTAGTCATGAAACCCCATTTCCCTTTAAGAAGAATGTAGTCTTTTAGCTGTACTGTAACATGTCCAGCTAAAACTAGGGGTTCTATTAATTTGAGAGAGATGGAGAATCTCAACAACTGAGAAAAATCATAGAGGCTCTCATCTTGGGGCCTTTGTTCATTCAGTGACCAGTGAGTACCTGTACGTGCAGGCATTGCTCCAGGGCAGGTGTGAAGAATGCAAAGGAGCTTCTGTTCTTTGGGGACTTACAGTCCAGCAGAAGGCAAGACAGAAAATAGACTAACAATAAAGATGGCCAGTTGACAGTCAACAGTGAAGTGTTTCCCAAGGTACATTCAGATTAGTTGTACTTAATTAATGATCTGTGCAGACAGTGGCAAACATCATTATCTAAGCCAAGCATCCTAGGGCCGTCAACATCAGCTTCTCTTTGATCTGAATTTATTTCAACAGACAATTCTCAAGTGCCTGCTATGTACCAGGCAGTGTGGACAAGAGGAGCGGGGGGTAACAGGGGGAGGAAGAAGTAAACAACTAGTGCCCAGAGCCCCACCTGGAAATGGTCTTTTAGTCATTCTGTGGCCAGCACCCCTTCAGGCTAGCTTGCACAGAATGCTAAGAAAGGATAAGAATCCAATGGTAAAATTCCATGTCTGGTTTCATTTTTCTTGGTGGAGAAGGATTGGAAGCTCTTTTTGCTGAGAGGTAAAGCAGGGTGATGAGGAACAGTTTTGTTGTTCCTAAGGTCATTGGACTGCTAACCACAAGGTTGGTGGTTCAAACCCATCATCTGCTCCTCAGAAACCCTATACAGTGTAGTTAGGAGTTGGAACCGACTCAGTGGCACTTAGCAACAACAACAAGAGCTTTTGAAGGGCAAGCTGAGGGACCTAGGAAAGCCTAGGGACAGCTGAGGGTCACAGCCTCTTCCTGCTAACCTCACATGACCCTCAGCAAGCAGTTCCTGAGCCTGATTTTGCTGGGAACTGGGCAGGTGTCCAAATTCAGTTCACATGTTATAAGTGAATGTGGGTTCTAAATTAAACCTAGAGACTGTATTGTACCCAGAACTCCCTGCCCTGAGCACTATGCAGTGCCTTAGACCAGGGAATCTCAAACAAGCTGAGGTGACAGACCAGTTTTCTGTTTTAAGTTTCAATTCAAATCAGTCAGAATAATGAAATACTAGAAAATGGACATGAAAAAGACAAAAAACATAAACTCTCATTCCTGTTATTAGATTCAAGAGACATAAACTTACCCTGTCACTTTGCTCCAAACATTTCTAAAGGCTAACTCCATTCCTATGCTTGAGTTTGTGAAGGATTGAGGTCATCACCAGCAGCCCAAGCATGTACCGTGAGAAACACTGCCTTAGGCCACTCAGGGACTGCCATCCTTCCCAGCCCCACAGGAGGACAACTCTAACTAAAAATGAGGAAGCTCCCCTGGAGACAGAGCAGCCCAGCCTCAGAGATGTGTCTCATAGCCCTACATAGCTCTCTCTGCCTCCCCACCTTGCCCAACTTGCCCTGGTTTTTCGTTTGTTCCTGTTTTTTAGTTTTATTATGTTAAATATATAGAGAACAAAAATGGTGATGGTTTAACTACTTTTTAAGTGTCCAATTCAGTGACATTAATCACAGTCACCGTACTGTGCAACCGTCACCGCTGTCTGTCTCCAGCACTACTTCCCTTAAATAATAGCTCCCCAATCCTTCTCCCCTCAGCTCCTGGTAACCACTCATCTACTACTTACTGTCTCCATGCATTTGCTTATTCTAGCTGATTCATATAAGTGACACTATACAGTGTTTGCCCTTTTGCATGACTTATTTTACCCAGCATACTGTTTTCGAAGTCCATCGGTATCATAGCATGCATCAGAATTTTAGTCCTTTTCATTACTGAATAATATTCCAGTCTGTGGATCTATACCAAGTGCTGATGGGCACTTGGGTGGCTGCTGCCTTTTGGTTATTGTGAATAGTATTGCAGTGCTTATTGGTGTATCTGGTGTTTTTATCTGAAACCTGAGTAGAATGTTCCAAGGAGCAGCTTAACCAGCTCTTGGCTCATTCTCTCCATGCTCAGATGAAAATTGTATTACACACTTGCAGCTGGTGAACTAAAAGGTCACTGCTAATTGTAGTCATTAAGCCTAGACATGGCTTTCAGTCTATACTGGTTTGATAGCATAGCAGCCAACAGTGAGGTGGATGGTCATCCGCACTGGCTGGCCTGGCCTGGCAGGGAGAGGTCACTCACTGTCCACTCTTCATTGCAGTTTTCCAAGGAGAGGCACGCCATGGACAGGACCCCCGAGAGGCTGAAGAAAGAGCTGGAGGAGGAGCTGCTGCTGAGCAGTGAGGACCTGCGCAGCCACGCCTGGTACCACGGCCGCATCCCTCGACAGGTACCTGCTCTCCGCCCCTCCCTAGCACATGCTGTTCCAGCCATGTGGGAGCAGAGCCACTGGTTATCCAAAAACAAATACTGCAAAGTCGCCTGCAGTGGCTTCACGTAGGCCAGTCTCTAAGGAGACCATGGGAAGAACTAAGGTCAGGAATCCAAAGTACATTTCTACATGCTCGATAAGCAGATGAAGGACAAACAAGTGTCCCCGCGGTCCGCAGTCTCAGTCTCAGGAGGGGAGGCCCGGGGCTGGTAACCTGAAGAAGTAGGAAAACAGGGCTGGAGTCAGATAATGGAGGCTATGGCTGGCTGCCTACAGCCTGCAGGCACTGGCTCCCTTTTTAAGGCAGTGATTTAATTCAGGTGAAGAGAGGGCATCAGAGGGGCAGGTGGCACAAAGTAACAAAGCCGCCTCTACCCCAGTGAGGCTGACAATTTATTCCTCTCTCCATCCTTTCCCTACCCAGACCCAGACCCAGGGGCGGGGAAGAAGGAGGAATTAACCCAGTGACCAGACTTATGGCCTGGAATGTACTTGATGTGATTGTCATTCAGGTCATTATCACCTTGAATGTTTAATGGTTTTTTGTTTGTTTGTTTTATTCCTTGTTTTCCTTTTAATGGTCTCCTGGTGTGGTGCTATAGTATCAGTGTTGGAATTCAAACCACAAGGTTGGCAGTTCAAACCCACAAGTTGCTCCTCAGAAACCCTATACAAGGTTGCTGTGAATTGAAACCAACTCCACAGCACTTAACAACAACAACAACAAAACCAAAAAATCCACTGTCATGGGTGGATTCAGACTTATACTAACCCTCTAGAGCATGTAGAGCTGCCCCATAGGGTGTCCAAGGCTGTAAATCTTTACCAAAGCAGAGAGCCTAATCTTTCTCCCTCCGAGTGGCCGGTGGATTCGAACGGTGTTAGAAGTTGAAAATAAGGTAAGCCTGCAGATTCGAGATGTAGAATTTAGCTAGGGCTTTTATTGTGAACCTGGCTAGCCAATCATTAACGCACCACACTGTGACAGTAAATGAGTGCCAGGGGAGGTAGGGAAAGGCATCATAGTGTCAACAGTGTAGCTGATTTCTCAGCACTGTCCAAGAATAATTTTTCATTCTGACCTTGTTTTTTGTTTGTTTGAAATTTACTGTAGAAAATACAGAAAGGAAAAAAAACAAGTAAATACCCATTCCTAATTCTCCTCCCACAGAAAACCATGATAAGTATTTTTTATATATATCCTGTCATACTTTCCTAAATCAATTATGAAATCATACTGCATATTTTTCCTCCTTTTTAAATTGTGGTGAACATATAGGTAAGACTGAACACAAACAGTTCAATGACATTCAATATAGTCACTATGCAATCTTTTTTGTAGTTCACGTTCTTTACTTAATGATATACCGTGGGAATTTTATCCTGTGGAAAAAATAATCTTCTACACTATTCTGTGCTCTCTTCACGTCTGTTGTATTCATGCAGTACAGTTTATTGGACTCTTGAGGGGTTTGTAAGACCCAGACCATCATCCTTTAAAATAACTACAGTGCTCATACCTGTAATTATTTCCTTGGGCTAAATTCCAAGAAATATAATTTCTGGATGAAAATATATTTTTAAGATGTAATTTTAAAGTAACCATGCTGGCATACTATTTTAAGATGTTGTTGTTGTTGTTGTTAGGTGCCATCGAGTCGGTACCAACCCGTAGCGACCTTAAGCAGCGCAGAATGAAACACTGATAGCAGAGCCATATTGTTGTTGTTGAGACCCTGTATAGGATTTCCAAAGCCTTAAATCTTTTTTCAGGAGCAAAAAGACTCACCTTTCTCCCACATTTCAAGATAACAGAGCCATATACTACTGAACAAATGTTGGAATGTCTTGAAGATATTGTCAAAATTTATAAAACGAATCATTTTTCATTATCATAATCATAAAATTTTTGTATGATTTGCCATTAGTGTCAACAGTTTCTACATAGCAGTTTGGACTATATAACCAGACACTGTAATAATAACAGTTATAGCTAAAAAATTTTCCCTTGAATTCTAGCCACTCTATGTTGTTGTTGTTAAGTGCCATTGAGTTGTTTCCAACTCATAGTGATTCTGTGTAGGGTTCCAAGGAGTGGCTGGTGAGTTAAAACCATTGACCTTGTGGTTCAAACTGACCTTGTGGTCCAATGCTTATCCTACAGTGCAACATCAGGATTCCATTCTATAGGTAATATTATTATCCCCATTTTACAGATGCTATAACTGAACCAGGAGAAAGATGGGGTGGCCTGCTCCCATAAAGATTTACAGCCTCAGAAACCCTGTGTAGGATTGCTATGAGTCAGAACCAACTCCATGGCATATAACAACAACAACAACATAACTGAACCACAAAGAGATTACATCATTTGTCCAAAGTCACACAGCAGAACCAGAATGCAAACCCAGGTGACCTTGCTACCTAACAGGCATGTTGCACCACAGTATAAATTCTCCTTTGGCTGTAAATATTACCATCATCATAATCAGCTCTTTTTGAGTATCTATTGTGTTTTAGGCACTGTATTAGGTACTTTGCATAAATCATGCTGTATAATCCTCACAGTAACTGAGATGAGGGAACTAGGCTAATTTTGTTTCAGGTCCTCCAGCAGATAAGCAGTGTGGTCAGAGTTCACACTCGAATCTCTAATCCACACACCATGCCTGGTTCCCATCCACCAGGTCTGGCATGGGGAGTCTTAGGAGGTAGTGTTCTAAGGATGACACCTTCCTCAGCACTCCACTAGCTGGGAAGGCAGACCTGCCCCATCAGGGACATAACTCATTTCTGCTGCTTTACTTTTTTTTTTTAAGTTTTTACACAAATGTCATCTTCTTATGTCACCCCCCTGGTCACCCTATTTAAAAGGACAGTCCCCAGCACCCTCCCAAGCACTTCCAATCTCCTTCCCAATTTACCTCTCCTGCATGTGGCATGCCATATGTTGTTGTTAAACACCGTTGAGTCAGTTCCGACTCATAGCAACCCTGTATAGGGTTTCCAAGGAGTAGCTGGTAGATTTGAACTACCAAATCACCAACCTTGTAGTTAGCAGTCTAGTGCTTATCGTATAGCACCACCCAGGAGCCCTTACTTGTTCTCAGTAAAATAGAGGCTCTCCGTTAGAAACAGAAGTTTCATGAGTCTGGAGACCCTCGTGTCTTCAGTAAATGATCCTTGACTGGCTCTCCTAAGAATTTTACATCTGGAAAAACAAAGAGGCATGAAAACATTGCCTTGGGTTGGTCTAGAAAAGTGGGTAACAAAAAAACTTTGTAAAAGGGGTACCTTTTCCACTCCTAGCTCACTGTTCTGTCCCAAAGGTGTCAGAAAACCTCGTGCAGCGCGATGGCGACTTCCTGGTTCGAGACTCTCTGTCCAGCCCGGGAAACTTTGTCCTGACCTGTCAGTGGAAGAATTTCCCTCAGCACTTCAAGATCATCCAGACGGTCCTGCGGCTCAGTGAGGCCTACAGCCGCGTGCAGTACCAGTTTGAGATGGAGAGCTTTGACTCCATCCCCGGCCTGGTGCGCTGCTATGTAGGCAACCGCCGGCCCATCTCCCAACAGAGTGGAGTCATCATCTTCCAGCCAATCAACAGGACGGTGCCTCTGCGGTGCCTGGAGGAGCGCTATGGCACCTCCCCAGGCCGAACCCATGACGGCAGCCTCCCTGAGGGACGTCCCGACGTGGCCAAGAGGCTGAGTCTCACCATTGGTGGAGTGCAGGCCCGAGAGCAGAGCTTGCCCAGGGGAAACCTCCTCAGGTGGGTCAGGACCCTGAGGGACCCAGTGCAGCCCAAGTTCCTTTGGGCAGTTGAGGAGCTCACCTGGGAACAGGGAAACAATCAAAGATATTGGTAAAATACCAAGTGGTCAATCCTGTCATGAGGGAGAGAGAGACGAGCTCAGAGTACTGGGAGGAAAACCAGGGTTGTAACATCACAGCATTAAGGTGTCCTCGTCCTGCTATTGAACATCGGTGATGGTGCCCTTTATATAGGATGTTGTCTCTTTCATGGGGAGTCCCTGGGTGGTGTACATGGTAAACACGCTTGGCTACTAATAGAAAGGTTGGCGTTGTTGTAAGATCACCCAGAGGCACTTTTTTATTTATTTGTTTAATGTTTTATTGTGAATTATGTCATAGTTTACATGGAAGAACATTAGCTTTGCATTCATCCTATTGTATATCATTTCATTGCCATGGTTACAGTCCCCTCCATGCATCATCAACCAACCAAAGGGTATACCCTGCAAGCCTGCCCCCACCCCGGTCATCAGCACACAGTCCCTCTCCCTCTCTGGGTCTAAACTCCCCAGCCACTCCATGTCTCCACGTCATCATCTCTGCCTCCATCTCTGGCATCACTGCTTCTCTGGGTAAGGTCCTGCTCTCCACTCTTCTCCCTTGAAGGTCCCAGGGACCTCCGCTCCTGGACTGCAGTCAATCACTACCCTCCTTTTGCTACAAAACATCTACCTTTACATTACCAGCCCTCACAGTCAGTCCTGATAAGAGTTATCACTATTGTACCACAAGAGACCTATCCCCATCTCCTTTCATCAGCCCCGCCCAGACAGCTTGTATACTACTCAGTGCAGAGTCTACCCTCCTCCACGCCCTCTGGATCTAGGCTCCCTCTTGAAAGCTTGTAAGCCAGTCACTTCTCACCTGTGTAGTCCCCCCAATGTCCAAGTTGCCAATCCCTGTCTGCTCTGTGTATGGAGGGGGTGGGAACGATTTGTTCCCACTTTTGAGCTACTGCATCCATAGGTGTAGGTCAAGTTCATCAAATTGTATCAGATTACTCTTTTTTTCCTCTTTTTTCTTCTTCAAGTTGAGCTCTGATCATCCAGCCATTAAAGCCAGGTCATGTGGGTATTTTCTGTAAGTGTGGGTATTCTTGTGCATATACCCTCTCTTCTTATCATTCTCCACTCTAGTCCTCTGTGGCTATGTCACTGACTCTGGGCCCAGAAGTTCCCAGGTCTTGCCAAACTGCTGGCCAACCAGGTCTACACCTGGTTTCACAGGAGTGTATTGAAGGTGGTTGGACTTAGCTCGCAGCTTCATTGCTGTTTTTCCCTCACTTCCCCTTATTGGTGACCAGTGTGGTCACCAGTCAGAATACGTGTCTGCTTGTGTATTCCCATTGAGTCTCAGTCTTGGAAGGAGGTTTGCCCTGAGAGGACCCGACCATTTGCCTTGATGTCTCCTGGGAGAGCTACTTGCTTGTTCTTATAGTAATCAATCGGACTGCCATTGTTGTTTTGTATTTTTCCTGTCGGTGTTTCTTTCAAGAAATATCTTCTGTTCTTCTAGCCACTCCAGGCTGGTCTGCTTGTCCTTTCAAGTGGAAATTTCCCAACTCAGAAGATTCTGGATGGGGTTCAGGATTCCACCTATAGTCTTATGTAATGCAGAGGCTCCACAGGAAGCCTACTTCACTGGGCACATTGTAGCCCCATTTTAGGTATTCCAATCAGTTACAGGCAGAAGAAGAGCTTATAAACTTTCTATGGTGATAATTCTGGCTGTTCCTTTCTCTCCCCCTCAAGTGTCTATTTTATAATGGTATGCCAGGGAAACTAAGATTCAAAAGACAGCCAAGCATCTTAACATTATTTCCCCCCTTTTGCCCATTCCAACCATGTCTCAATCCCTGTATCTCAGAGCCCTGTTGTTCCAAGGTTGTGTATACATCATCATTTACCTCTGTCCCACTTAGTTCATGCAAACCTGCATAATTGTTTTCCCACCCGCCTTGTCCTTCCATTCCCCTTCCTCTTGTGTATTGCCACCGTCCCTAGCACACAAACTATCCTGTGTCTATTCCCTACCCTGTATTCCACCTTCCCCTTCCTCCCCTGACCCCAACCCCCACATCCATGTAATCAGCAAAGAATCCCAATCCCCTTAGTATGGGTTCTTTTTCTTAGTCTTTTACAGTAGTGGTCCTATGCAGTATTTCTCCTTTTGTGACTAATTTCACTCAACATAATGTCCTCAAGGTTCATCCATGTTATGTGATAGCTTACAGCTTCCTTCTTGTTCTTCAAGGTAGCATAATATTCCATTGTGTGTATGTACCACAGTTTGTTTATCCATTCTTCCATTGATGGGCACTTAGGCTGTCTCCATCTATTTGATCTTGTAAATGGTGCTGCTGTGAACATTGGTGTGTATATATCTACTTGTGTTATGGCTCATATTTCTTGTGGATATATACCAAGTAGAGGAATTGCTGGATCATAAGGTATTTCTATTTCCAGCCTTCTAAGCAAGCACCATAAGGAGCTCTGGTAGCGTAGTGGTTACGAATCGGGCTGCGAACCTTAAGGTCAGCGGTTCGAAACTACCAGCCGCTCCGCGGGAGAAAGATGAGGCTTTCTACTCCCATAAAGATTTACACCCTTGGAAACCCTGTACAGGATCGCTATGGGTCGGAACCGACTCGACGGCACTTAACAACAACAACAACAACAAGCAAGCACCATAATGCTTTCCAGAGAAGTTGGACAATTTTACAATCCCACTAGAAATGCAGGATCATCCTAGTCTCTCCATATCCTCGCCAGCATTTATTGTCCTCTACCTTTTTGATCTTTGCTGTTATTGCTGGTGTGAGATAATATCCCACTGTTGTTTTGATTTGCATCTCTCTAATGGCTAGTATAGCAGATTTGCCTAATGTAATACGTCATTTGATTTCTTGACTGCTGCTTCCGTGAATGTTGATAGTTGATCCAAGAAGAATGAAGTCCTTGACAACCTCAATCTTTTCTCTGTTGATAAGAATGTTGTTTATTGGTCCAGGGACCAGTTGCTGGAGAAGGATATCATGTTTGCTAAGGTGGAGAGTCAGAGAAAAAGAGGAACACCCCAATGAAATGGATTGGCGAAGTAGCAGCATCGATGGACTTAAGCGTGGCAACAGTAGTGAGGTTAGCCCAGGATCGGGCATTGTTTCATTCTGCTGTGCATAAGTTCGCTATGAGTCAGTACCAACTTGATGGCACCTAACAACAACAACTATTGCTAATGATTGTGAACATTTCTTCATATGTTTGTTGGCTGCCCTGATCTCCTCCTTGGTGAAGTGTCTGTTCATGTACTGCACCCATTTTTTATTTGGGTTATTTGTCTTTTTCTTGTAGAGGTGTTGTAGTTTCCTATATATTTTAGAAATGAGTCCCTTGTCTGATGTGTCATTGCAAAAGATTTTTTCCCATTCTCTGGGTTCCCTTTTTACTCTTCTGGTGAAGTCTTTTGATGCACATAGTTTTAAATTTTTAGTATGTCCCAATCATCTATTTTGTCTACTTTTGTTTGTGTAGTTTTCAAAATGTTTGGTAGTCTGTGTATTCCCGAATTAGTGCCCTCACATTTGTCCCTATTTTTTCATTGATGGCCTGCATTAATTTTGGGATTCACGTTTAGGTCTATAAGCTATGCTGAGTTGGTTTTGCATAAGGCGTGAGGTGAAGATCTTGTTTCAATCTTTTGCATATCACTTTCCAGTTCTGCCAGCACCATCTGTTGAAGAGACTATCACCTCCCCATGTGATCTATTTAGGCACTTTGTCAAAAATCAGTTGGCTGTATGTTGATGGGTTAATTTCTGAATTCTCGATACTGTTCCATTGATCAATGTATCTTTCATTGTACCAGTACCAAGCTATTTTGACCACTGTAGCTGTGTAATAAATTTTGAAGTCAGGGAGTGAGGGATTTCCAACCTTATTCTTCTTCTTAAGCAGTGCTTTGGTTATCCTGGGTCTCTTTCCTTTCCATATAAAGTTTGTAACTGTTTTTTCCATCTTTCTAAAGAATGTCGTTGGAATCTGGATTGGGATTGCATTATATGTGTAAATTGCTTTGGGCAGTATTGACATTTTCACAATGTCTTACTATTCAGGAACATAGTACATTCTTCCACTTCTGTAGGTTTCTTGTAGTAGAGTTTTGTAGTTTTCTTTGTATAGGTCCTTTGTTTCTCTGGTTACATTTATTCCTAGATATTTCATTATTTAGACAGCTATTATAAGTGGTATTGCTTTCTTAATGTCCTTTTCAGCACTGTCATTTTTGGTATAGAGGAATCTAACTGATTTTTGGATGGTAATCTTATATCCTGCCACTTTGCTGAATATTCCAATGAGGTCTAGTAGCTTTTTTACTGAGTCTTTGGGGTTTTCTACGTAGGATCATATCATCTGCAAATAGAGAGAGTTTTACTTCCTGTTTGACAATTTCGATGCCTTTAATTTCTCTGTCTTGTCATATAGCTCTTGCTAAGACTTCTAGCACAGTATTGAATAGGAGTGGTGACAAAGGGCATCCTTGTCTGGTTCCTGTTCACAGAGCGAAGGCTTTCAGTTTCTCTCCATTGAGAGTGATGTTGGCTGCTGGTTTTGTCTATATGCTCTTTATTATGTTGAGGAATTTCCCTTTAGTTCCTCCTTTGTTGAGTGTTTTTATCAGGAATGGATATTAGATTTTGTCAAATGCCTTTTCTGCATCAATCAACATGATCATGTGGTTCTTTTCTTTTTTCTTATTTATATGGTGGATTACATTGATCATTTTTCTAATGTTGAACCATCTTTGCATCCCTGATATGAATCCCACCCAATCATTATATATATATATATATTGATGTGCTGCTGAATTCTGTTGGCTAGGATTTTGTTGAGAATTTTTGCATCTATGTTCATGAGGGATACTGGTCTATAATTTTCTTCCTTAGTGATGTCCATCCCTGGTTTGGTTTGAGTGTTATGCTTGCTTCATAAAATGTATTAGAAAGTTTTCCATCCTCCTATATCATCTGGAATAATTTGAGTAGAACTGGTGACAGCTCTTCCCTGAATGTTTCGTAGAATTCACCAGTGAAGCCATCTGGGCCTGGACTTCTTTTGGTTGGGAGTCTTTTGATGACCTGATCAATTTCTTCTTTTGTTATTGGTCTGTTCAGGTTTTCTACTTCACTGTGTATAAGTTTAGGTGGGTCGTGTTTATCTAAAAATGTATCCATCTCTTCTAAATTTTCAAATTTGTTGGAGTACAACTTTTCATAGTATTCTGTTATTATCCTTTGGTTTGATTTCCTTTGGTTCCATTGTGACAAATAATGCGTGTTATTTGTGTCTTTTCTCTCTTTTCTTTTGTTAGGTTTGCCAATGGTCTGTGTCAGCGGCACTTGTGAAGAATGTCCTGTCAGTGTACTGAAAAACTAGCCACTGAAAACCCTATGGAGCATAGTTCTGCTCTCACACACTTGGGCCAGAATTGACTTCATTAATTTATTAGAGGTCCCTAGGTGGTATCAGTGATTTGTGTCACTACTAACCTAATGGTTGGTGGTTCAAACCCACCTAGTGCTACAAAAACAAAAAGCAAAAGACCTGGAGCTCTGCTTCTATAAAGATTACAGCCAAGAAAATCCTAGGAACTCAGTTCTCTACTCCATAACATATGGGGTCATCATGGGTCAGAATAGACTCAATGGTGATGGGTGTGGTAGAACTCCAGATCCCCTTCTTTGACTCCCCAACTTCTAGGTGTATACACTTAAACCAACATGTTTTATTCTACTTACTGGTTTTCTTTCTGGATCAGGAAGAAATGTCATGAACTGTAGTTTCTAGATAACAAACATTCAGAAGCAAAATACACAACTCTATGAGTAGCATGGATTGGGATTTAGTGTGTTCTGTGTACTTGGTCAGCATGTCTGGGCTCAAATCCTGGCTCCACCACTGACCAGATTTTTGACAATGGGCAAGTGACTTAACTTCTCTGTACCTCAAGCTCTTCATCTATAAAGGTGACACTTGTAAGGGTCAAATGTTACAAGTGAAGCCCAAGCCCTAGACAGTGCTAGCACATAGTAAGTTCTACCACGACATGCATGTCAGATTACATCTGTGCTCCATCGAGTTTTTCAGTGGCTTTTAAAAATAGAAGTAGATTGCCAGCCCTTTCTTCTAAACCAAATACACTGCCATTGAGTCAATTCTGACTCATAGCAGCAACCTAGGACAGAGTGGAACTGCTCCCTAGGGTTTCTAGACTGTAAATCTTTACAGAATCAAACTGTCTCCTCTTTGCCCCAGCCCATTGCTTAATCCACTGCCCTACCAGGGTTCCTAAACAAAACAAAACCTCCCTGTCATCCAGTTCATTCTTACTAACATCAATCGCGTATAGGATTTCTGAAGGAACACTGGTAGCGTAGTGGTTATGAATCAGGCTGCTAATCTCATGGTCAGCAGTTTGAAACTGCCAGCTGTTCCACGGGAGAAAGATGAGGCTTTCTGCTCCCATAAAGATTTACAGCCTCAGAAACCCTGTACAAGGTCACTATGAGTTGGAACCGACTCCATAGCACATAACAACAACATAGGATTTCTGAGGCGGCAAATTTTAACGGGAACAGAAAATCTCATCTTTCTCTCTTGGACTGGCTGATGAGTTTGAATTGCTGACCTTTTGGTTAGCGGTTCAGTGCTTATCCTACAGCAATACCAGGGTTCCTTTGTTGTTGTTATGTGCCGTGGAGTCGGTACAGGGTTTCTGAGGCTGAAAATCTTTACGGGAGCAAAAAGCCTCATTTTTCTCCCGCGGAACAGCTGGTAGTTTCGAACCACTGACCTTCTGGTTCGCAGCCCAATTCGTAATCACTATGCTACCAGAGCGCCTTAGGGTTCCTTTAGGGACTTCATAATGCTAGATAAATGTTAATAACCTAAATTTAGTACCTGAAGGGTAATGGGATGTTAAATTCAGGACAGCTGCAAGAAGGAAGGCAAAAATTGATACTAAAAAAGTCTCCCTTTCATAGTAATAAGATTGGACTTGAGATATATTGGACTTAGAAAATATAAAAGGGATACATTTTCTTCTGTTTCTGTTGGGAGTAGGCTTTGGCTGCTCAACTATGGAAGCAGGGAGTTTATGACAAGAATTTCAGTCAGAGCTTATTCTGCAGCACAGATCTGCTGACAATGGTGCTGAGCTCCAGGGCCTCAGAGTTGGTTTTTCTTTTCTTTTGGGGGGGATTTGTTTTAAGTGAAAGTGCAGGAAAGTCGAGAAGACAGACCAAGAAGAGGCACTTTTCTGGTGGCCCTGGGGAAAGCAGAACCTCTTAGAGCTTGTCACCACTTGGCACAGGCAGGCAGCCCAGACTGTCTGAGCGCGGAGTTGGGTGAATTACGCTGAACGGTGGCCTGTTGCCTGGCCCCGCGGCCCTTCGGTAGCTCCCGGACGTCAGCTCTCCGGCTCGGCTCGTAACACCGGCTGCTACCGCCCTGACGTTGAGCCCGCTGATTGGCTGGGTGGTGGCCGCCAGGGCCACCAGGTGTGCGCTCTCAGCCAGGTTGCATTCCAGGTCAGGGCCGTTCTGGACTGGTAGAGTCTGACCGCCTGAGCTGATCACTGCTTAAATATCGCCTTTCAGAAGCCATTTCCTTTTGGAATTTGCCCTCTGTCCTGCCTTATCTCTGACGGTTTGCTGGAAATTTCTCTATTGCTGGGAGTTTGGGTTCTTTTGGTTTATTTGTTTTTTCTTTGATTCTTGCAAAGGTAGGAAAGACTTCCCAATTTCTGTAACAGAATATTTTAAGCTTGTGGGAGGGCCAGTGAAAGATTTTTACTTTACTGGTCCCGTACCTTCTCCTTGAGCAAAAGCGATTGTGCTGTTTTGTACTAACGGAATGAACAATACGGAATGTGTGGAAGGCTACTGTCCACCTTTCCCCTGCCAGTCTGTGCACCGTGCCTCAGTTGCAGCTTTAGTGGTGGTACTAGCTCTTTCCTTTTTGTTTGTTAGCTCAGCAGGAGACTGACTGTGGGAACCCCAAGTGCAGTCAGCAGTTTGGGGATGTCAGCGTCTCTGGGTGATCCTGCAGCTTATTTGGAGGATGTTGAGATTTGCACTGAATTGGAAACTCCCCCGCAGCTCCCTTGCTGAGCAGGGCGATTATAATACTATAAAGCCATTGTGGGAAATGCATGTTAGTTAAACAAGGCATTCCTCTCGGGTCTGTAAGTAATTTTAGGCTCTGTTAAAAGTACACATTCCAGTTCATCAGATTTTCCAGAGAGGAGAGTGAAACTTTTACTCGGGTCTGTTCCACAGCATGCTCAGTGGAGGGCGTCCGAGGTTTAATGGGAATGGTCAAGGGGACCAGGGATGGAGCCCAGGGCACAATCCTATTATTAATTGCCTCGTCAGTCATTCCCTCCTCCAGCAGACATTCCTTTGCTGTTATGGTATGCTGCAGCACTCACATTCTGAGCAATTTTTTTTTCCTGTTAACTTTCCATGACGCTGCCTAAAAGCTTTATGATTTAATGACATGTTTCTGCGCCGTTTGTCTTTTACTTCAGAAATAAAGAGAAGAGCGGTAGCCAGCCAGCTTGCCTGGATCACATGCAGGACAAAAGAGCCCTATACCTCAAAGCCCACCAGTCGGAAAGTTACCTGCCAATTGGTATGTCTTTGGGGATTTTCGGGGAGAGGAGGACAGTGTGACCCAGATTTCCTCCAAACTCTTTCTCTGTCCCCTCTGGTTCCCTAATTTAAAAGTGAGATCAGGTTCCATGCCTGCAAGCTCTTGGACCCTAAGGATTTTGTGGAGCTGTTTCCAGATGCAAAGCATTCAGCTGGCTGCTTTATGTATTCAAGCAGCTCATCCTCAAAACAAGGCTTCCAGGTGGGAGTTGTTTTCCCCATTTCATAGCTGAGGAAATTCAGGCACAGGGAGATTCCATAACTTGCCCAACGTCACCCAGCTGGTAAATGGTCAAGCCAGCATTTGAACCTCAATTTTCCAATTTCATACCCATTCACTAACTGGCAATACACATGACCAGTGGGCCTACTCTCCTAGCTCTCTTCCTCTCCATTCTCCTTCTCCTGGGAGGAACATCTGGTCTGGTAAGCAGTTATATTAGTAGGATAGTGAGCGTTTCTCATTATTTTTATAACTGATCTTCCTTGGGACAACAAAAAGGTTTTCCTGGTGACTCTTTATAAACTACTGTGGATGATCTCAATGTCTTTTTTCTCCCTTCTCTGTCTCGGGCTCTCTTTCAAAGTTGGCTGGGATCTGCCCTGGCTATGAAAGTTATTCAGGGCCCTTTATGCTATGTAGTTAAGCACTTCTGTCTCTTAGGGCAAGATTAGATTATTCACTGTGCTCCGAGCTAGATGTCTTCTCCTGTTCTAACTGTGCCAACCTCTGTGACCATAAAATGACATTACAGCCCAACTGCTGACAGTCACTGGGATTTGAAACTTAGGGTGGAACCCACTCAAACTTCTCAATTGCTCTTGATTGGACGTGGAGAAGTCATACTAAGAATGTTCTTTTGTTGTTGCTGTTAAGAACTGTCAAGTTGGTCTCCACTCATATCGTCCCCATTTAGGGTTTCTGAGGAGCGGCTGGTGGTGGGGTTGAACCACTGATCTCGCAGTTAGAACTCCAGTGCTTACGCTATAGTGCCACACCAGGATTCCAAGTATTTATTTAAGCAGTGAAAACTGAAACCCAAAGACTCTCATTGAAGATGAGAGGTTAAGGTGGGGTGGGGTGTGTGTGTCAGTCACTCTATTTGTGTTTGTTTTGTGTTCTCCACATAGCTAAGCTTTTTCTATCTTGTTCTTATATCTTTCACAGGATGTAAGCTGCCCCAGCAGTCCCCAGGGGTGGACACAAGCCCATGCCCGAACTCACCTGTGTTCAGGACGGGCAGTGAACCCACCCTGAGCCCAGCGCTGGTTCGGAGGGTCTCCTCGGATGCTAGGGCAGGGGAGGCACTGAGGGGCTCGGACAGCCAGCTGTGCCCCAAGCCACCTCCCAAGCCTTGCAAAGTACCCTTCCTCAAGGTCCCTGAACTTCCACCCTCTTGGTCTAACTCAGAGGCCCACTACTGTGAACTGAACCCAGCCTTTGCCACAGGCTGTGACAGGGCAGCTAGGCTGCCCTTATGTGCCCAGGGCAGCTCCATGGAGCTACTGACAGCCAGACAGAATGGGGCCCTGGGGCCCCGGAACTCTGGCACCAACTACTTGATCCTTGATGACGATGAGGGGGCAAGACCTTGGGATCCAACAGCAGGACAGATGGACCAAGGACAGGAGGACAAGGGGGAGTTTGTTAAGCCCCTCATGGAGAGTGTCTCCTCGTTCAAGCCCAATGACTTTGAGTCGAAGCTCCTTCCTCCTGAAAACAAGCCTCTGGAAACAGCAATGCTGAAACGTGCAAAAGAACTGTTCACCAACAATGACCCGAAGGTCATCGCTCAGCACCTGCTGCAGATGGACTGCAAGGTAAATGCGGGGTGGGCGTGACTTTGGGAAGTTTGGAAGAGGGATCTGTCTGCTCTCAGTTGGCCTTACCCTTTAAGTACTTTGCTCATAGGGAAAGTCTAAAGATAATGCTGGTGTAAGAATTTGCTTATGGGGTGGAAACTGCAGGCCAGGACAACCTTTGCCCAGGCAGGAAGCTTGTGAAATTCAGCTTGGGCAGAGGGCACACTTGCCTCTCTCTCTCTCTCTCTCACTCACTCACACACACACAACACACACTGGTGCGGAATTCCTTTCCTACCTCACCTCCATCAAAACAGGTCTAGCTGAGTCCAAAGGACAGCAGACAGTAGGTGAAAATGTAGTTTCTGAAGTAATGGAACCTCGTTTGCTCTTACTCTCATGATATGTATACTGATCTTTATAAAAAAGATCTATAGTATAATTTAGCATTTTGTAAAGTTACTCTTGTTTTATTTTTTTCTTAAAATAAGGAATAGTTCATCAGTTTAGAAAAGTCAGAAAATGTAGATTCAAAGAAAAGGAAAAAATCAAATCACACAAAATCCAGTCTCCTAGTGATAACTGTGGTTAACATTTTGATACCAACCAAAATGTTACATACATTATGTAAATGTTGTTGTTAAGTGTTGTTGAGTCTGTCCCAACTCACAGCGACTCTGTATAGGGTTTCCAAGGAACAGCTGGTGAGTTTGAACCACTGACCTTGCAGTTCAAACCAACCTTATGGTGGAGTGCTTATTCTACAGGGCCCTACCAGAACAGACACATATAAATAATCACGTGCATATAATAAGGAGGCTTCAAAAAGTTGGTGAGAAAATGAAATGAAAAGACCATGGAATTTTCCCCTGAACTTTTAAAAAACTTTTTATTGTGAATTAAGTGAAGGCTTATAAAGCACATCAGTAGTTTTATATTCAACATAGTCACTAAATGCTACACTTCATTTCATCCCAATAATTACAGTCCTTTCAATGTAACATCACTTATTCCACTTCCCCCCCTGTAGTCTTTGTTTCCATCCCTCATTTTTTCCCAGCCTTTCTGAACTTTGCCCTTGAGTAGATGTTGCCCTTTGATCTTGACTGGTTGACCATTCTATGATGAGGATACCTACTGGCTTTGTTGTCCCCCTGTATACCTATCTCCTGCTTGGCTGAACATTTGGCCATAAGGCTGAGTTCCATTTCAGAACTGAAGGGTGATCAAGGACCAGTCTCTGGGGCCCTCCAAGTTCTATCTGACCAGTAAGCCTGGTCTTTTTTAGGATTGTGAATTTTGTTACCCATTTTCTCCAACTTTATTCAGGACCTTCTTGTGTGTTCCTTTTCAGAGTAGTTGGTATTAGTATCCAGGCAGCATCTAATTCTTCTGGTCTCAGGGTTGTTGCACGAACTTTTTGAAGCCTCTTCATATATGCATAAAAGACACCAGACTATACATACTTTCTTCCCATGTAACTAAATATGTATATGTTAACATCATGACTTCTGATAGGAAGTATTTCATTGAGATGGGAATGACATGTGTTCATAGGTGATCTCCAGGGCAACCTCATCATTCAGAAAGAACTGTCTAGATTGTTGGTGTCAGCCTTTGAGAGACCAGTTAGGCCTTGGATGCCATGAGGCCGGTTATGACTCATACAGCAAGCCCATATTGCAGAGTACAACTGCCCGTAGGCTGGAATCTTTTGGTCAGCAGATTGTCAGGTCTTTTCTCCTTCACAGAAGCTAGTGGGTTTGAACTACTGACTTTTCAATTAGTAGCCAGGCACTTAACCATTGCATCACCAGGGCTCAGATCAGGCCTTGGTGATGGTGAGATTTAAAAGCTTTTTCAACTGTAGTTCATAAGTCAATTAATTAGCTTCAAAGTTCAGGGCTTGCTCAGGACAGGGGTTTTCCTTCTGGGGTCATAAATTGTGTCAGAAGTCCAGTCTTTGAGCACTCCCCAAAGGAATCAAGGACTCACAAGGAGCAGGCCCAGATGCCTCCTCAAAATTACTTGAACTCATTTGAGTGGTAGGAGGATTGAGAATTTCTCTTTCAGTGAGTCAGTCTGAGTACACTGGATCTGAGAGCAGAACCAAGTCAGCAGGCCAGGAGTAAGATTCTAGCCTCAGGTGAACCTGCCTGGGTTCTCGATACCAGATGCTCATTGCAGAAACATGGGGCCAGGTGTATAAAACAACCTCATTCCCGGGATTAAAATGGGTAGGGGATGCACCCATTGTTCTTCTCGCTAGCATTATGAAGAGGTAAGATGCATGCCCACTGTTTGCAGGAGGGTCTAGAACCTTCCCACCACCTTTGGCAGCCCTGAAGCCAGAGCCCTAGTCTGTTCTCAGCTGAAGGATCTCCAGCTGGTTTTCTTTTGTTCTGTGGCATTTCATCCTCTGCGTGGGGCCTCACTCCCCTATCTTCCTGGGAGAACCTCAGGAAAAGGAACTGAAGTTCAAGCCAGCAATAGGAACAGTTGAACTTTGTCCACCCCAGCCCCCAAGCTCAGGGCTTTGATGAGTCTTCCTTTCTCATCCCACCCCAGTGCACCACTGTATCCTTATTCAATTCCTGGAACCACTGACTTCAGGCTTTGTGAACAACCAGCTTCTCAAAGAGAGAAATAAAACAAGAGCTGTTGCTCCCCACCCCAAAGACAGCAGCAGCCCAAACAAGGCCACCCGAAAGCCTAGAGCAGGCTAGGCTAGGCATCTGGGCCCCATGTGCCATTCCCATCAAGCACAGAGCCCAGGACTGACGCCCAGAAAGACCACCATGGGTGGTCCTGAGAGCTCCTGGAGTTACTGCCCAGCACAGGGGCCAGAACTGGACTGCGATGTCCGGTGAGCACTTTATAAATGGATGACAACCTTCCTTCACTCAATTCCTAGAGTACCGTTCATTCTTGTCTGTGCTTACAGCTAGGAGCCAGGCCTAGTGGTTACGATTTTGGCCTCTGGGTCTGTATTGCCTGAGTGTGAATTCTGCTGCTACCACAAGGCTACAGGACCTTGAGAAAGTTAACTTTCCTTTCCAGATCTTTCTTTCCCATCTTATTATAAAGCCTGGTTACCAATACCAGGTTCTCAAGGTCGTTGTGAGGATTAAATGGGTGTGAGGTTCTATAGAACTCAGCCAAAGATACAACATACATCTCTGGACTGGGTGTGATGCTGAGGGCTTTATGGAGTATTATCCCATTTGATCCTCACAACCATTTAGTCCTCACAACAACCTCAAGAAGCTGGTATTGGAATATATTGGTTCTACTGTGCATAAGATCGTTATGAGTCGGTACCGACTCGACTTGATGGCACCTAACAACAAAAAATATATCTCTATCTCTATCTATCTATCTGTCTATCTATCTATCTATCTATCTATCTATCTATCTAAGTTTTTACCAAGGAAATGACTCACACAGTTGTAGAGGTGGGAGAGTCCTAAGCCTGGGTCAGATAACCAGGATTGGCAGGTCACATGGCAGGCAGGCAGGTCCTAGGATCAGCAGGTAATAGAGCAAGCCACTGGCTTTAGTCCAAAGAACCAGAGGTTGGAGGATGAACCAGATTCAAGATCAAGATCCAGCAGAGAGCAAGCAAGCTTTGTCTGAGTGTCCAGTATATTAGAAGCAGACCACACCTTCGAAGAGGCTTCCCTTCATAGCAGACCTCATCATAGAATTGGTTACATTATATTAGATCTCACCATGGGGGATAACTACCTCTCACTGTCAAACCTCTAAGAATCCTGGTCCAGTCAAGTTGACACGAAACTTTAGCTATCACAGTATGCAAATGTTGTTGATGAGTGTTTTCTATCTGGTCTTGATTGGGAGCTGGTAGGATGCACAGTGATGCTGGAAGGGGGACCACAGTCCAGGGGAAGATACTCTCTGGGAAAGCACCAGAGCTGTGGACCTCTGAGTCAGGGCCTCCACGGGGTCAGTGACATGTTTTAAAGACTGAGTAGGAGTTGGCTAGGTGAAGAACCAAAAAGCATTTTCTAGGCAGTGGCAACATGCATGTCAGAGACCATGGCCGGAACGATTGGTTTAATGGGGAGGTTTATTCTATGGAGAGATTCCTGATTCCCATAAACTGATTACAAATAAGAATGGAATGGGGTAAAAGATAATAAGATGGGGCGTGGAAGAGGATAGAAGAAGGCTGATGGCTCTGTCCTTCAATGTTCTTAAGTTTCAATCCTAGGCTGGTGCTGAGTTCCTGCCTTCAGAATCCTTCAATGAGGAAGAGCCCCATAAATACATTAGAGGGCTAAGACAAGAAGTGGGGCCAGGCCATCGCCCTGCATTTTAGAAGGCCCCTTGCAACTGTGGGGAGAGTGACTCTGTGACAGCCCCTAAGGCAGTGGGATGAGGAGGAATGGGCAAAGTCCAGAGGCACTACAAAGCTAGGATGGCAAAGATTTGGTGGGCAGAGGAAGGCTGGAAGGCTTCATCGTGTGGCACATAGTAAGTGTTCTATAGGTACTAGTCCTTCTTCCAGATCCGTGAGCTCCACGGGCTTCAGCATTTCCCTAGAGACCTAATTCAGGCCCACAGTGTGAGCTCGGTCCCAAGGCAAACAGGTATCAGCTCTTGTAATGGCCCAGGAAAGTGACCAGGGGACTCTTGTCTAAACAAAAGGAAAGCAGAATGGAGGCCTCTTTCAGAGCAGAGAACATGGACTGTGTGCTAGTGCTCCTAGTATAAAACTGAATGAAGAGCCTTCAATTCTTGTCACCCAAGAGTGTGCGTTGATTGAAGGATGTTCCGCAGAGGGCCTAGGTTTGGACAGAGAGCAGCTGTTTAAACAAGGGAAATGTATGTGTGGCTGCAGGCAGCTGAGGTGTGCACTGGTCTGCCTTGTCCCAAGGCAACGGTGTAAACCTCTTTCCTGAGGCTGGGCAGTATCATCCCCCCCCCCCCCTTTTACATGGCCTGTGATTCGTAACTTATGTTTTCAGATGGTTTTTGGAGGTCTTCAGGTGAGCTTTGCAGTTGGGGAAACTGAGGCTCAGAGGGTGCAGCTGAGGCCAGAGTATGAATTCCACATCCTGTTCTGGGATCTGCCTCTGTGCCCATTCCTTCAGGACCGACAGTGGTTCCTTTGCTTAACTATTGAAGTTAAGGGTCAGGATTAATAATATGGGCTAAACTTCCATATTTGGGGGAGGGGGGGAGCCATTATGAAGACATCTGGACTGCTCATTTATCCAGGACACTTGCGAGAGTCTAAGAGGTCAGCTCCACCAGGTTGAGGAGGATTGTCCTGTGTTCTCTGTGTGTTGGTTAGGTTCTTGTCTCTGCTAGTTGCATTATTACATCAGAGACTTAGAAAGGCATCTTTATCCCCATTTTTAGAGATGCACAGATTCAGCTGCAACTATAAATCATCAACTCATCCCTTTTGTATGCTGTGATTATAAATTAGAATGGAATGGGGTGAGAGTTAATGAGGAGAGAAACAAACAAGCAAAGATTTTCTTTAAGGAAAACCTCTCAGAAGGGTTGTGTGTGTGTTTGAAGCCTGGGCTTTTAAATCACCATATACGTTTTTAATCGTTTCCAGACGACTGGCATATTTACCAAGCCCAAGGAGAGGCGTAATTAAGGGTAATAGCAGCCAGCCGTGGCTGTTAAGTGAGAACATGAATGGCGAAGCCCACAGCACAGGAAAGCTTGGACATGTTTCTGCTTTTCCACCATAGGGGACCATTGGGCACTGCACACACACAGCCTTGCTTCTGGCAGCAGAACATCGCAGTAGGATCCAGCCTGTGTTAGATAAAAGCTTGAAGAGCTAAACTGTTCTCTGGCTGGGCAGAAACCCTTTTTAAATCTGCCGTCTGCAAACCAATTTAAGTGCTTCGTCTCCCCAGTCTTTCTTTTAAACCCTGGGTTTTATATTTTAGTGCGTATTAAAATCCCCCAAATATATAAAAATTATTTCAGATGCTACTCTAAAAAATAAAAAAAAATCACTGCAACAAGTGAAGTGTCTCCATTCCCATGCTAAATTAGTGGTGTCGGCAAGCCCACTTCCTGAGCAGTATATTTGAACTTTTGTTCTTGACAGGTTGCTAGGATACTGGAGGTCTCTGAAGAGATGCGGAGGAACATGGGCGTGAGCTCAGGCCTGGAACTCATTACCTTGCCGTTCGGACACCAGCTGCGCCTGGATATAATCGAAAGGTGAGCATTCCTGTCATCTGCATTCCAGGCCCTTTTGGCGGCACCTTCAGAGGCGGGAGGAGATACAGAACCAGCCCAGCCCGAGGACCCACCAGCACTTCATTCATGTTCTCACTTTTCCCAAAGCTTAGCCAGAGAATTCCGGGGGATGAACAAAGAGACTGGGCCAAAGAGGTCTCCAGGAGGTTAGAACAGCCTTTGTCTGAGGCAGGTGCCTGAGCGAACAGAAGTCACAAGCCAGTCAGTCTGGAGGAGCAGGCTGTGTGGCAGACTGATGGGCACTCCGAGTGTCTGCCTCCTTGAGTGCCGAGCCTTTGCCTTTTGAGTTTAAGATTGCTTTAGGAATTAAGTGGGAGTTTGTGATAAATATTGGGGAAGGGCAGAATCTGACATTTTCTTTGAGGGTTAGACAAATTGGGGGCTAGCAGAGACCAGGGCCCCCACTCATGAAAGGACAGCATGTGGAGTTCCCATTAAAACACATAAGTGTGAAAGCTGATCCTTAGAATTGAGAAATAAAAGAGAATGGAGACCGGTTTTTAAGGAAAGACACGTGCCCTAAAGCCCATACATACTACAGCAAAAGCTAGCCTTTCCAACACATCAAAACAAGACAGATGATCTGTTATCTGAAGTTTTCATCTCTTCCAACAATATTCCACTTGCCCTGACTGACTGCCCATGGTTCTCCAAGATGCTTCAGGTGACAGCATGGTCCAGAGCCATGTCTGCCATGACTGAAGTGTCTTATCTCTGCTGACCACTCGCCAAATGTGGCTACTGAAGCTCTTCAAATGTGGCTAATGTGACTGAGAATGGAATCTTTTACTTGTTGTTGTTGTGAAGTGCCATCGAGTTGGTTCTGACCCATAGTAACCCTGTATAGGGTTTCCGAGGAGCAGCTAAAGAGTTTGAGCTACCTACCTTGGCAGTTCAAATGGCTTTACAGTCTGGCGCATTAACCCCTTGTTGTTGTTGTTAGGTGCCATTGAGTCAGTACCGACTCATAGTGACCCTGTGCACAACAGAACGCAACACTGCCCAGTCCTGGGCCAACATCACAATTGTTGCCATGATTGAACCCATTGATGCTGCCACTTTGCCAATCCATCTCGTTGGGGTTCTTCCTCTTTTTCTCTGACCCTCCACCTTACCAAACATGATATCCTTCTCCAGCAACTTGTCCCTCCTGACAGTATGTCCAAAGTATGAGAGATGAAGTTTGGCCATCTTGGCCTCCAAGGAGCACTCTGGCTGCACCTCTTCCAACACAGATTTGTCTGTTCTTTTGGCAGCCCATGGTACTTTCAATATTCTCCTCCAACACTAGCACTCCGACACCATTAACCCACCACTTTGTTAAAATAACTACATCTTAGCCATAGGATGTCAGCCCCTAGAAAGTAGCATGACATTTCCAATAACACAGGGTGATGATGAGGTGATACAGCTCCTTCCGAGGTTGTTGTTGTTGAGTGCTGTCGAGTCAGTACTGATCCATAGCGACCCTGTACAGGGTTTCCAAGGTGAGTTTGAACCCCCAACCTTGCAGTTCAAATCCACTTTGCAGTACAGCTCATTAACCCATAGTGCCACATCAGGACTCCCCTTTGGAGGTTAGTTGATGATAAAGCAGATTTTGGTAAAATGACTTATACTGCTGTTGCTTGGCTTTAAAGCCACAGATGCCTCCCCTAAGAAACACCCAACATACTGAAGATTCCTGAGAGGAGGGTGGTTAAAAAGCATCGTGCTGAAATGTTGTTCAGGTGCTAGAATCCACACACCTGTGCATTGATTCTGACTCAGGACAGCACCATGTGTGCAGAGTAAAACTGCTCCATAGGGTTTTTAGGGTTGTAAGAGACACTGAAATTGCTCTCCAGCATAGAGATGCTAAAACAAATGGAAGAAATGAGGTACAAGAGCTGAACAGAAAATTTCAAAGATCAGCTCGAGAAGATAAAGCCAAATATTATAATAAAATGTGCAAAGATCTAGAATCAGAAAACCAAAAAGGAATGTGGAACACACTCAGCATTTTTCAAGCTGGGGGAACTGAACAAAAAATTCAAGCCTCGACTTTAGTTATTGAAAGATTCTCTGGGCAAATTATTGAATGATACAGAAAGCAACAAGAGAACATGGAAGGCACACACAAACTCACTGTACCAAAAGGAAATGGTTAATGTTCAACCATTTCAAGAGATAGCATTGGATCAAAGCCAATGATACTGAAGGAGGAAGTCCAAGGTGCACTGAAGGAATTGGCAAAGAGCAAGGCACCAGGAATTGATGGAATAAAAATTGAAATCTTCCAAGAAAGGCGGCACAGGAGGCACTCACTTATTTCTGCCAAGAAATTTGGAAGACAACTATCTGGCCAACTGATTGGAAGAGATCTGTATTTGTGCCCATTCCAAAGAGGGGTGATCCAATGGAATGCAGAAATCATAGGACAATCTCTTTGATATCCCATGAGAGTAAAGCAATGCTACAGGTAATACAGAAACGGCTACAATCATACATTAACAGAGAACTTCCAGAGGTTCAAACCAGATTCAGAAGAGGCCATGGAACAAGGGATATCATTGCTGATGTCCGATGGATCTTGGCTGAAAGCAGAGAATATCAGAAAGATGTTTACCTGTGCTTTATTGACTACCCAAAGGCTTTTGACTGTATGGATCATGACAAGCTACGGACAACATTGTGAAGTATAAGTATTCCTGAACACTTAATTGTGCTCATGAGGAATCTGTACCTGGACCAAGAAGCAGTTGTTCGAACAGAACATGGGAACACTTGAATGGTTTAAAATTAAAAAAGGTGTGCGACAAGGTTGTATTCTTTCACCATACTTATTCAACCTGTATGCTGAGCAAATAATCCGAGAAGCTGGGTTCTGTGAAGAAAAATGTGGCATCAGGATTGAAGGAAGACTCATGAACAACCTGCGATGTGCAGATGATACAACCTTGTTTGCTGAAAGTGAAGAGGACTTAAAACATTTACTGCTGAAGATCAAAGAGCACAGCCTTCAGTATGGATTACATCTCAATATAAAGAAAACAAAAATCCTCACCACTGGACCAATAAACAGCATTCTTATCAATGGAGAAAAGATTGAAGTTATCAAGGACTTCATTCTTCTTGGATCAACTATCAACACTCATGGAAGCAGCAGTCAAGAAATCAAACGACGTATTGCATTAGGCAAATCTGCCACACAAGACCTTTTTAAAGTGTTGAAGAGCAAAGATGTCAGCTTGAGGACTAAGGTGCCTCCAGCTCAAGCCGTGGTATTGTCAATAACCTCATATCCATGCAAAAACTGGACAGTGAATAAGGAAGACCGGAGAATTGATGCCTTTGAGTTATGTTATTGGAGGAGAATATTGAAAGTGCTACAGGCCGCCAAAAGAACCAATAGATCCGTTTTGGAAGAAGTGCAGCCAGAGTGCTCCTTGGAGGCCAAGATGGCCAAACTTCGTCTCTCATACTTTGGACATATTGTCAGGAGGGACCAGTCACTGGAGAAGGATATCATGTTTGGTAAGGTGGAGGGTCAGAGAAAAAGAGGAAGACCCCCAGCGAGATGGACTCAAGTGTGGCAACAGTGGTAAGGGTGGCCCAGGATTGGGCAGTGTTTCATTCTGTTTTGCTTAAGGTCACTATGGGTCAGTACTGACTCGATGGCACCTAACAACAACAACAACAACCTATGGAAGCAGATCACTAGCCCTTTCTTGTGAGGAGCCTCTTGGTGGGTCCTAACAGACAGCCTTTTGGTTAGCAGCCTGGTACATTAACCCTTTGCAGCACCCAGAGAGTGCTGTTCAGGCACATTGTTGTTGAATTCCTTTGGAGAAAGTAGTACTGCCTGAATTTTCTTCCTCTCCCTGATCTGACTTCTAGATTCTCTCCAGGTATTCCCTGTTTCCCATGTCCTCAGCTCCAGTAACTTCCCCTGTTGGTGTTTGGGCAAGTGGTCACTGTTTCCACAGGGAGATGCTGTACTGCCACACTTCCCCATTCTTCATGTGACGATACCCTTCAGCTTGAAAACCCCCTATGTTCCAGTCTCATTTATCAGCATCACTAGGCATGCTGGGGCGTGTGTGTGACTCAAGCCAAAGGTTTAGGACTTCTCTCTTGGCCGTCACCTGATTTTCACTCCTGTCAACAGCTGGTTCTTACTTCTCCCAATTGCTGCATGGATAGGATCTGGCTCCTGAGCTCGTTTCTCACCCAGGGCTCGTCTGTACAATCTACTTACTCAAGGCTGTGAGGTGGTTTTATTGATTAAATGTGTCTACTAAATAAAAACTCCCTAATGTGGCGCTGTAGGATCAACAATGAACTGTGAACCACAAGGTCGGCAGTTCAAACCCACCAGCTGTTCCTTGGAAACCCTATACATGGTCACTATGAGTCTGAACCGACTCGATGGCACTTAACAACAACTAAATACAGTTGGTGTCAAATAGACAGCAGCTTCTTTGTTGAAGAGTCAAATATACAACTGTCTTGCCCATGCCAAGTATGCTGAGCTGGTGACATCCACTAGCACTGTGTGCCTCCCTAGTGCTGCCTCTGGAGCAAGCTCTTGCCAAAGACTTGCCATCCCACAATGGTGCCCACAGGAGGTTCACACTGCTTGAGTGAATGGACAGAATTAACCATTTAACCACCAACATAACACCAGGTTATCGGTGGTGGTTATGTGCTGTGGATTCAGTTCTGACTCACAGTGACCCTATATAGGGTATCTGAGGCTGTAAATCTTTCTTTCTCCCACAGAGTGGCTGGTAAATTCAAACTACTAACCTATTGGTTAGCAGCTCAGCTTGTAATCCACTACGCTACCAGAGCTCCTTCAAGGGCCACTAAAACACCAGAAAAAACAATTGAATAATGGAGATCCATTGAATGCAACATGGCAAGTTAGTTACAAGACATCTCAAATGTTTCACTCAATGTCAACATTTTGAAAACGGATGGCAAAACGCCTCAGTAAATACAACAAATAAAAATACACATTGTTGTTGTTGTGAAGTACCATCGAGTCAGTTCCGACTCATAGTGACCCTGTACAGGGTTTCTGAGGAGCAGCTGGTGAGTTTGAACATCCAACCTTGTGGTTTGCAGTCCAGTAGCTTATCCTATAGCACCACAAAAATATACATTAGAGTAAAAACAAAAAACAAAACATGTTAGGTCTATATTATGATTGAGAAAGACAGGAACTCAGGAAAAGGAAGACAGGCTTAGTAAGGCCAATAGGCAAAATGAAGCAAGACACAGAGGGAGAGACATGCACATATATAGTGATGACGATATACTAGGTGCCTGCCAGCGCCAGACATGATTTTTATACACCCACACAATCTCTCTCATGACCATCCTCTGTACCCATTTTACAGATGAAGCAACTTGAGGAGTGGGACAGTTAAGTAACAGTCTGAGGTCACACTGTGAGTAAGCACCATACATACATCTATGCACATGCTCAGACAGCAGAAAGTAATGTTGATCATTTAACAAACAGAAATACTCATAATGCTCGGCGCTCATTAAATTACCACCACCCTTTGCTCAAGGCAAGATAACAGTGTGCATGCAGGCAGCACACTTGGCACACAGAGAGAAGCATGACCATGGGGAACATTCTTAGCTTCAACTTTCATGACCATGTGGCCACTGAGTTTCCAAGGCTTATTGTATTTTAGTAACCACAGCTGTGAATTGGGGCTTCACCTCTAGCACTCGTACCACAGCCTGGAAGGAATAAAACTGAGACAACCCTGACACAATGCAGTAAACTCCTTAGCTGATTTACAGTGGATGGGGTTGCAATCTCTCAGTTACTGACAAAGGAGCCTGCTCTCTGACCCCATTAATATTAGTCCTGTTGTCACATAGAGAAATGAGCACCCTGCTTCCTGACCTGGGCCTATGAGGTTGACCTGTGTTCAGGACGAGAAAAAGGAGGATTGTTGGAAAGGAGAGTGCAATTTTATTAGGGTCTTGCCATATAGACACGTTCCAGCCGGTCAGTTATTCAGTCTCATATGTGTAGCTCCATTCGCTTTCTGGCCTCCTGACCAGGGTGAAGACACTCCATCCTCAGCTTCTCTTTCCTTCCTTTGTTCTCAAACCCATCATCTCCCTGGATCAGGCATCATCCTCTCATTTTCCCGCCCTTTCACTCACAGTCTTGAGTGTGTGTGTGTGTTTGGGGCTACTCATGGTGGGGGTTCAAGAGGTCCATGTGTACACTGAGCAGAGTCACCCACAAATCTAAGCCTGAATTTGGCCCTGTCATGTTCTTCTGGACCGCACTGCACCCCCTCTGAGGTCCTGCTGCAGCCAGCCTGGTTGGGGCTGGTCGCACTGTTGACACTAGTCATTCAAGCCATCTGACCTGCTGGCACATTGTAGGGTGACAGAAGCAAACAGTGCAAAGACAGCCCTTTTCCGGGTCATTTGGCCTTTGGTTTCGTTTTGTCTGCATCCTGTTGGTGACCACTGATCTCCCTCTCAGACACAGCACAATGGCGATCGGCATCGCAGTGGACATTCTAGGCTGCACGAGCACATTGGAGGACCGAGCCGCCACTCTCAATAGGATTATCCAGGTGGCAGTGGAACTGAAGGATTCCATGGGAGACCTCTATTCTTTCTCCGCCATCATGAAAGCTTTGGAGATGCCACAGGTACAGCACCACTTACTCTGTGTGGCCCCACCGGCCTGTGCAATCACTGTTCTGCAAAGAGGTTTGCAAGCCCAAATCAAATTACAAACTATCTTAAGCCATCTGGAAAGGTAAACTGAATCTTAACGAATACTGCTGTGATAACGGGACAGTGTTCAGGCTCTATTTTTGAAAACAGTGGGTAGTTGCTGGCAGCCCACACTTTGTGAAGAAAAATCAATGCCCCCAAAAAACCAATCAGGATGGTTGTTGTTGGTAAGGGCTGTCAAGTCAGTTCCGACCCATAGCCACCCTGTATAGGGTTTCCAAGGAGCAGCTGGTGAGCTTGAACCTCCGACTTTGCAGTCCAGTGCATTAGCCCATGGCACTACACCAGGACTCCAATCAGGGTGATTAGTCTTGGTAAAGTGTGTTGCATAAGCCACTGTTTCCATTGGGCTCACCAAGCATGTTGGTAGTCTGGGGGGATAACTGGGAAACCAAGACACTGAGGGATTTTATATCTGAGAATCCCTAGAGTGGTTTTTCTTAAAATATGGTCCTCAGGCCACCTCAAACAGACTCTCTTGCTTAAAAAAAAAAAAAAAAAATTGTACTCCCAACCCTAAAGCCCCCTCTTTCCTTATAAGAGTTTCTGAAGGCCAGGCATTTATGAGCCTGACAGGGTGGGTGCCCAATGAAAACATGTATTTGAAATCAAATGGGTTTCCAGTGCTCACAGTGGGCTTTCCCTTTCATATGCCCAAGCACTAGGGGCTTGAGTATTGAACACAACATTACAGTCCTGCAAGCCCACTCTGTACCCACTTGCTCCAAACCACTGGTCATTGAGCTTGGCTGTTTCATAGCCCCAGATTGTATCCACAGGCCTGTCAGGTGTTTGCTGAAAATCTAGCACTGCTATGGGGAAGATTGTTAACAGCCACGTGTCCTGCAAGTCTGACCAGGTCGGGAACACAGTTTCCCTGGTGTGGTGCTGCAGGGTAAAGCACTGGACTGAAAGGCCACCTTGAACTGCAAGGTTGGTAGTTCAAACTCATCAGCTCTTTGGAAACCCTATACAGGGTCACTATGAGTCAGAACCAACTCGACGACACTTAACAACAATAACAAAGTAAGATCACCTTAAAACACAGCAGCTCAATAATTTAGTGCCTTTTTGCAGGGGATGGGAGGAGTCAATTCTAATTATAATATGTTCTAAGAGCCACAGCTTTCAAAATTCTTTAGGTGCACTGGAGTTTTATAGCATCAGTATGTGAAACAAGCAACCTGTAAATTTGGTGTGGTGCTGTGGGATAATGCACTGGATTGCAAAGTTGCTCACGGTCAGAGGTTCAAGCTCACCAGCTGCTCCTCGGAAACCCTATGCAGGGTTGCTATGGATCAGAACTGACTCAATGGCACTTAACAACAAAATATGGCAGTATTTTCATAATGTAGATTTCTGCTATAATACAGGCTATTCAGGAGTTATTTTATTCAGGTGTTTCTAATACACATCATCTTTAGTTCCTATTATCCAAAATTGGCTGTTATGCTGAGGGTTGAGCTAGTAGATGAAGACTTCCAGCTCTTCCTGTTAGGTAAAAGGGAAATGTTTGTGGAATCATTTTGTGACTGCTGCCCATGACATCATGCTCAGTGGTTAGGGACTTACCTCAAACCTCCTTAACAAGCCTTTGTAAGTGTCTCTCTCTAGCAGGTCAGACACTTCCTCTCTAGAGTCCTCCAGGATATGCAGGGCCTAGGCTGAGCCAGGAGACTACCAAGGGAGGGAGGTGAACAGGCCCAGGGGGAACCCAGGATGAGATTTATACCACTTCCAGGGGTCTTCAGCCAAACCTGCCTGTGGGCTTTCTTCTCTCAGCTTCTAATTGCAAGAGAGAGCATGGAGGAGATGGGCCGAGGGGAAAGGAGGGAGCTGCAGTGGAAAAATGAGAGAGGGACAGGAGCCTGGGAGGAGAGAGGGCAAAAGGCCAGCCCACAGCCTTTTCCCTTTCCTTTTAGTATTCACGCTCCTAGAGGCCCGGGAAATGAAGCCCAAATCTGCCACTTACTAGCTGTCAAGTCTTGGACCTAATCTCCCTAAGGAGTCTTGAAGTGACACTGGAATAAAGCACTGGACTGCAAGGCTGGTTTGAATCACAAGGTCGGTTCAAATTCACCAGCTGCTCCTTGGAAACCCTATACAGGGTCACTATGGAACCAACTTTATGGCACCTAGCAACAACAATCTCCCTATGCCTTTTTTTTAATGCCCCCCTCCTTTCTATAAAATGGGGCCAAAAATACCAGGCTCATAGGGCTTTTTTGAGGACAGAATGAGGTTCCTCGTATGAAGTATCAGATACCAAGCTGGCTCTCACTTTCAGAATATCAATGCCCCTTTTCCCTTCTTTGTTTCATGTGGAAAATATAAGGTACTACATAAGGCTTGTTGGTTTTATGATGTGAGTGGGGGATCATTTCTCTTATGACAGTCATAGTCGGTTGCATACGTTGGTGTTGACTGACTCCAATCAGGAGTCTCCAGAGAAATGATTAAGGATGAGGAGTGGCATCAGAGGCCTGGACTGTCTTCTATGTGTCCCAGCTACTATTCCTTATAAGAACATTCTGATGCTTTACATCACCTCCTGGCGTTTTTACATCAGTACCACCTACTTCTCAGGAGGCAGTTGGTAGCAGCCATCTACATTTAAAATTATGTAATCTGTGACCCAGCAGTGCTGTCTGAAAGTCCATCCTCCAAATACATGCATGAATACACTGGCGGTCATCTTTACTGTGGTAATTTTTGAATAGCAAAATACAAGGGGGCTGATTGAAAAGGTTTATGGAAAAATGGAATTAAAAGATAATAGAGTGTTTCCACAAACTTTTTGAAGCCCCTTGTATGTGTAAAACTTCTGTGTTGTTGTTGTTAAGTGCCATCAAGTTGGTTCTGACTCATAGCAACCTTGTATAGGCTTCCCAAGGTGTGGCTGATGAATTTGAAGTGCTGACCTTGTGGTTCCCACTGACCTTTTAGTCCAGTGCTTACTCTACAGCACCACACTAGGACTCAGGCCTTCTACAGTTTATCCACCATGCAGGCATTTAATAAAATGAGACTGTTCTACATGTTCTAAATGGAACAGTTCCCAAGGAGGAAGCAGTAGAGTATGTATACTGTGGTATGTGTTCATTTTTTAAGAAGTGTAATCAGTCTCTGAGAAGAGCCAGGTGAGGCTGGCAGGAAGGTGAAGGGTTTGATCGTGAGCTTTTCTTTGTACACTCTTTTGCACTTTTGACTTTTTTTTTTTTTTTTTTAATGATTATTGTGCCCACTTATCATTTACTCCAAAATGTACGTAAAAAGGTCATTTTGAAAGACAAGAACTTTATCCGAAACCGATGACCACCTTGCTTTCTTCCAGATCACAAGGCTTGAGAAAACGTGGACTGCCCTGCGGCACCAGTTCACCCACACTGCCATCCTCTATGAGAAGCAGCTGAAGCCCTTCAGCAAACTCCTACACGAAAGCCGAGGTGAGCAACAGGCAGGCAGCATGTATGCGTCCAGTCTCTAATGCCGTAGCTGGTCTCTGTGCTGGAGAGAGGGGCAGGGCTACTGAGCGGTAGGTAGTAGCTGTGCTCTGCGTGGCTTGCTGCAGATTTATAGTGGCTAAAACAAGGCACTGGCTGCCAGTGGCTTCAATCCTGTGCTTTGTTGTTGTTGTTAAGTGCCATTGAGTCAGTTCCAAGGAGCAGCTGGTAAGCTTGAACCGCCAACCTTGCAGTTCAAACCGACTATGCAGTACAGCTCATAACACACAGCGCCACACCAGGACTCCATTCTGTGCTTAATGTTGGGGGGAAAAAAAATGACCTGGAAAACTTTCCTCCTCATTTTTCAGAGTCCACGTGTGTGCTCCCAAGCAATGTTTCAGTCCCACTGCTGATGCCCCTGGTGACCTTAATGGAGCGCCACGCTGTCACTTTTGAAGGAATTGACATGTGGGAGAAAAACGACCAAAGCTGTGAGATCATGCTGAACCACTTGGCTACAGCCCGACTCATGGCAGAGGCTGCTGACACCTACCGGGTGAATGCTGAGAAGATCCTGGAAGGTAAGAGCCCCTTTATAAGTGAAGAGAAATAAAGGAATGAAAGAATATGCATCCTCATTTAGGTAAGATGAAAGGCATGGGTGTTCCATGTCCTACATGACTGGTCTATGACTTCCTCTTAATTTCTAAAGGTCTTGAATTATCTGTGTTTACTTTCTTCTGTGTTAGTGATGTAGAACAAACAGAGAGGAAGGGTCGTGAAAGAATTGTCCTGCTTGCTTGCTGTTGGTATTTCTAGTGAGGTCTACTCTAGGGGATGGGCCAACACTAGGAGTTGGAGTTTTAGCTAGACGCCTCCCACTGACACTGGTGAGTGAGCTCCCAGGAGACTGCTGGGTCCACTGTCGACAGTACTATGGTATTAGAAAGCAGCTCCCCCTCTCGATACATTTATCACAGCCTTAGTACATGCTCAGCACCGTGTTAAGATGAATGTCCTCAAGTGCTTACAGACAACGGGCAGAAACAGGCATTAAACAGATGTCAGCCCACAGTAGTACGTACTGTGGGACACAGTGCACAATGGGAGCCTGTAGGAAAAGAAACTGATCTGGTGAGGGAAAGCAAAAGCATCTGAGAACAACTTCCCAAAAGAGGGAACACTTCCATTGATTGCTAATGGACAAAAGAAAGTAGCCAGAAAACTAGAGATGGGAATTCCAGTCAGCACACTGTAAGCAAAAGCATTCTGGTGAGAGGGTTTGGTAAAAAATAGTTCCTCGGGTACCTGGGTTTGGACTCAATGTCAAGTGTGACAAGGAATAGCCACATAGGCTGAAGAGGAATGTAGACAATAGCATGGGAAGGGTCTTTCCATGGAAGACAGTAGCCACTGAGGAAAAGCCAGTGGAGGATTTTCAGGGAAGGCATCACATAGTCAGATTTATGCTTAAAATTATTCTGAAAAAAAAAAAATAAAAGTAAATTACTCTGGTGTCTGTGTGCAAGTCTGGAGGGCTGAAGGCTTAATAAGCAAAAAGATCACTCAGGAAGCAAGTGAGAGAATGAATGCTTTACCAAGGCAGCCACCAGGGCAAAATGTTTTTCTTCCTCTTCATAGAATTAAAAGAATTGTTCAGGGGCCCACAGTTTGACTCTCAGGAATAAGAAGTATATGGGGGTGTGAAAGGCCTATTCATTTCACCCTCCAAAAGAAATTGGAAACTGAAACAGAAGTAGAATTTGGAAACTGAAATATCTGCACTGTGTCCGCTATAGGCTTAAGCACCACAAACTTGTTTCATTGTTTTCCTCAGAAAAGTTGTCGAGGGTTGGTAGCGTGAGATTCAACCAATAAAAACACAGAATTTAATTCAACCGGTATTAGAATACCTACTTGTGTTAATGTCGGGTGTTAGCATAAGCTAAGTTATTAGGATGGCTTTTGGAAAAAGTGTTTTAAGTTGTCCTATAGCAAATCACTTTAAAAGTATCTGATGCTGTTTCTCAGTTGATACTGCCACAAATTTGTAAGTGCCATCTAGTCAATTCTAACTGACGGCGACCTTGAATTGGGTTTTCAAGGAGCAGCTGGTGGGCTTGAACTGCCGACCTTGTGGTTCCCAGTCCAGTGTTGATCCTACAGCGCCACAGCAGGAGTCCATAAATCTTTATAGCAAGTTCCCATTGTTGAACGTGACTGTGACTCAGGAAGAGCAGAGATTGGTTTGCCAGCATGTCCCAGTACTCAGCCCCGGCTAGGGGCTGGAAGCATGTTACCTGACTGAATGAAACTCATCATCTGGTCTCTGGTGGCTTATCGGACAAGAATAATCTGGCATCACAAGGAAGGATGGACTGAGGCTTCTACTGTCTTCTCTTCCACCAAGATCTTTTGATGTAATTGTGGCGATACATTTACTAAGAGGGAACACTACTCCGGAAGTAATGAAGGATGAGAACCACATCCCCTTATGGGTCTCTGGCTAGATGATCCCCCTTCTTAATACAGTTACCTTGAGCACCCTTGGTAGATCAAACCTTCTGTGGAGCAGAAAAGAGCATTAAGAAATAGACTCACACATATGGTTGTCAATGGATTTTCAGAGGTACCAAGATAACTAATTCATTGGATAAAGTAGTCTTCCCGGAACTACTGGATATCCATATATAAAAATAGGGATACTGATCCTTACCTCATACTATATACAATGATTAATCCAAAATGGATCACAAACTCAAAACATAATAGCTAAAGTATAAAGCTTCTATAGGAAAATATAGAAGGTCTTTGTGTCCTTGGGTTAGGAAAAGATTCTATAGGACACAGCATGAAACACAACAGAAAACATGGATAAATCAAAATGAAAACTTTTTGATCTTAAGAAAATATAAAGGCAAGCAAGAGATTAAGAAAATATTTGCTAAATATATATCTGATAAACAATTTGTATCCTGAATATATTAAAAAACTCTTACAGCTCAGTAGTGTGAAAACACTTATTAACTCAGGTGACAGGGAGGGCAATATACAAGAAGTGGGGTGGGCAGAAGCATGATGAAGATGGGTGAAGACACAGGGAGGTATGTCTGGGCTCAAGGGGATAAACAGTGATATATACACAACAGTGTTCTATGGGTACATACACGCAGAGACACAGGCTGAATGCGTATGTATGGGAGGAAGCGTGTGATATATATATATATATATATCCCACAAATAAAAGTATGAAAAACTTTTATGCATTTGACTTACGGTGTTGGAGAAGACTATTAAAAGTACCATGGATTGCCAAAAGAGCAAACAGATCTGTGTTGGAAGAAACACAGCCGGAATGCTCCTTGGAAGTCAGGTTGGCCAGACTTTCTCTCTCATACTTTAGACACTTTATCAGGATATTAATCAGGAGAGACCAGACCCTGGAAAAGGACAGCATGCTTGGTAAAGTGGAGGGTCGGAGGGTTGGTGAAAAACAGGAAGATCCCCACTGAGATGGATTGGCACAGTGGCAGCAGCAGTGGACTTAAGTGTAGCAGTGATTGTGAAGTTAGCGCAGAACTGGGCCATGTTCCATCCTGTTATACATAGGGTCACTATGAGTCGGTACCAACTCAAGGGCACCTAACAACCACTGCGAGGAAGCGGGACAGCTGTTGTTGCATGGAGGGATTGCAGTCATTCAGATGAAACAAAGTGTATGATTTGTTGAATGTAAATATGATGATCTTGTCTGTAAACCTTCACTCAATTCACAATTTAAAAAAAAGTGAAAACAAACAAGATATGAATAAAATATCTGAATGGATGCCACATGACAGGAGATTCTAGAAATGACAAATAAGTACAGGGAAAGTTTTAACAGTATTTGTTGTTGTTAAGTGCCTTCGAGTTGATGCTGCTCCACAGCAACCCTGTAGAGAGTTCCAAGGAGCAGCTGGTGCATTTGAACCACCAACCTTTACGTTAGCAGTTCAGTGTTTATCCTACAGGGCCATACCAGGACTTCTTAACTGTATTAGTCATTAGGAAAATAGAAAATAAACCAGAATAAGATGTCACTATCCACAGTTAAAAAGAATGACAGTACTAAGTGCTGGTGGCCTGTAGAAAAATGGTAATCTTCAGAGATCATATAAAGTGGCACAGTCCTTTTGACAGTTTCTTTAGAGTCCGTTCTGACTCACAGTGACCCTGTATAGGATTTCAGAGGAGCGGCTGGTGGGTTTGAACCACTGACCTTGCCAAGTGATTAGCTCACACCACTGCACCAGGACTCTAGAAGTACTCCATTGGGCTTCCAAAGCTGTCATTTTTACAGAAGCAGACTGCAACATCTTCCACCCATGGAGCGCCTGGTGGGTTCAAACCACCAACTGGAGAGCTTAACCATTGTGTCACCAGAGTTCCTTGTATTTACCATATGACCCAGCGAGTTCTACTCCTAGAGAAATGAAAACACATGTCCACACAGACTTACACACAAGTATTCACGGCAACGTTACTTATAATCACCAGAAACTGAAAACAACCCAAATATCCACCAGCTGGTGAATGGATAAATAAAATGTGATATATCCATAGAATGGAATATAACTCAGCAATAAAAAGAATTGAATTACTGATAACAAGCAACAATATGGAAGAATCTCAGTAATGTCATGCTAAATTCTTACACAAATCCATGTATATGCAATTTCTAAAAAAGGCAAAATAACCAAGTGAATCAATGACTGACTGGGGTCTGAAGTAGGAACTAGGATAGGCTGCAAAGAGGTGCCGGAATCTTCTAAGGTGATGGAAGTGTTCTAGAACTGGTAAGTTGTGCAGCTGTAGACATTTACTATAATACATTGAACTATACTGTTAAAATAGGTGAATCATAACACATGTAAATCATACACCAATGAAGCTATTTTTTAAACAGGTACTATGAACACTCCTTCTTCCTACCACATGTGGCTTGTACACACAAAGTTCATTCTACTGTATTTTAGTAAGTTTACTTGCTGTTCCTTCTCTGATGGTGCTCAAATCCTTGAGGGTGAAGCTCTGTCCTCCCTTACATGGAGCCAAAAGCCAAACCCACTGCCATCTGCTGACTCATAGCAACCCTGTATAGGGTTTCTGAGACTGCAAAGCTTTATGGGAGCAGAAAATCTCATCTTTCTCTTGTGAAGTGGCTGGTGTGTTTGAACTACCAACCTTGAGGGGCAGTCTAGTGCTGATCCTACAGCACCCCAGGGCTCCTGTATATTGAACGAGACCCTCTGTTTTTCTCTGGAGACATTTTTTTTTTTTTAAGTTCTGAGAGATGAAGTTCATTTTAATCCTACTTTAAATGTGCAAATTTGGGGTTTGCTTCTGTTTTGGTGGAACTGTACAAACTTTTGTTTGTTTGTTTTGTTTTGTTTGTTTCCTATTAGGTTTCCAACCAGATGAAGAAATGAGTGAAATCTTCAAGACTGAATTTCAGATGAGACTGCTGTGGGGCAGCAAAGGTGCACAAGTCAACCAGACAGAGAGATATGAGAAATTCAACCAGATTTTAACTGCACTCTCACGGAAATTAGAACCTCCTCTTGTTAAACAGCCAGAACCCTGAGAAGTCTCCAGAGAACCTGGGGACAGTCTTTTAGGTTCCTACAGTATTCTCCAGTCTCTTCTTTAGGGAAGCTCATCATTTGATATAGTAATAAAATACAAATCTAACAATATACAAACTTGGAGTATACACAAGAAGATATTAAACATGTAAATTGCACAAAACACACTTATTTATGAATTGTTTAAAATTACTACTGATTTTAAATAAATGATAATTTATTATTAAGGTAACTATTGCTAATACTGATCAGCAAATTAAAGAAAGATCTAGCTGTACTGGCTAGTGTCTTTCTGTTATCACTGTATTTGGCCATCTTTAGTTTTTAATTCCATGTGAGATAAGTGTAAATAGAAGAGTTGTTTTTTTGTGTGTTTTTTTTTTAAAGCATGACACATTTCAGAAGGTATCAGTTGTATGATATTCTTTAAATGAATATGAAAAATGTAAATAGTCATGAATGAAAATATATCTTTTTTGTGTAACAAATGTATCTAGTCTCTTTAATACTAGACAGCATATCCCAGTACAAAAATTCCACCTTTTCTCTGGATATCATATTGTAATAAGCCAAAATTCATCAAGTGGTATCAAACCTTCAAGGTTCTGGCTTAGCACGCAGAGTGAGATGAAGATCTGGGCTCAAACTCAAGTTCTGATGATTACTAACAGACTTTGGTCAAGTTAATCTAAAGGGGAAAACAGAAAAGCAGGGCAAACAGACAACACAAAGGGAAACACCAGAAATAAGTCTATGCTTATCAATAATCATTCAAAATGTAAATGTCCGAATCTCCCAGTTAAAACTCAGGGAAGATCAACTAGATTTAAAACAAAACCACCGTCTGCCATTTACAAGAAACACAGATAAACCATAAAGACAAAGACTGAGACTCCGTAAGAAGTCAGGATAGTTAAGAGAGGAAAGAAGTTTGACTTTTAACAAGAGTGTGGCTTCTGATATGCGCCGGTAGCGTTGTCTTTTCTAACGTGGGCATTGCTTTTCTAATAAGTTGTGCGTTACACATTTTTCTGAATGTACATTTTATAATAAGGATGCTTTAAAAACACCTTTTAAAAATATGTGACAGATCACATCTACCTGGATGCTATCAGAAAGCATAATAAAACATCACATACATTCATCTAATTATTGAAGCTAACTATTGAAGATGCCCAAGAAACAGGTGACCCTATCAGCACATGTCCAGAAACAAGACAGAATGACTAGGACAGATGAGCAGGAGATAGATCTAGACATCACATTGGAAGGAGGGCAGGCTTTGGAAATGTTAAGTGCCATTGAGTCGATTCCAACCCATGGCAACCCTGTGTAGGGTTTCCAAGGAGCGACTGCTGAGCTTGAACTGCCAACCTTGCAGTTCAAACGGCTTTGCAGTCTGGCGCATTAACCCACAGCACCACACCAGGACTCCAACGTAATCCACCATATAAATAAGAAAAAGGAAAAGAACCACATGATCATATGGATTGATGCAGAAAAGGCATTTGACAAAATCCAACATCAATTCCTGATAAAAACACTCAACAAAGTAGGAACTGAAGGAAAATTCCTCAACATAATTAAGAGCATATAGACAAAAAAACAGTAGCCAATATCACTCTCAATGGAGAGGAACTGAAAAGCCTTTCCTTTATGAACAGGAACAAACAAGGATGCCCTTTGTCACCATTCCTACTCAATATTGTTTTGGAAGTCTTAGCCAGAGCTGTAAGACAAGATAGGGAAATTAAAGGCATCCAAATTGGCAAAGAGGAAGTAAAACTCTATTTGCACATGATATTATCCTATACATAGAAAACCCCATAAGACGCAGCAAAAAACTACTGGAACTCATTGGAAGATTCAATGAAGTGGCAGGGTACAAGATCAACACACAAAAATCCGTTAGATTCCTCTATACTAATAATTTCCTGAAAAGGAAATTAGGAAAGCAGTAACATTTACAATAGACACCCAAAGGATGAAGTATTTAGGAATAAATGTAACCATAGAAACAAAAGACCTGTATAAAGAAAACTACAGAACACTAATACAAGAAACCAAAAGGAGACTTACAAAAATGGAAGAATATACCATGCTCCTGGATAGGAAGACTTAACATTGTGAAAATGTCAATACTGCCCAAAGTAATCTACACATATAACACAATCCCAACCTAGATTCCAATGACATTCTTTAGAGAGAGGGAGAAAACAATTGCAAATTTTATACGGAAAGGAGAGAGGCCCAGGATAAGCAAAGCACTACTTAAGAAGAAGAAAAAAGTTGGAAGCCTCTCACTCCCTGATTTCAAAATTTACTACTTGGCTACAGTGGTCAAAACAAGCTGGTACTGGTACAATGAAAGATACATAGATCAATGGAACAGAATAGAGAATCCAGAAATTAACCCATCTACATACAGACAACTGGATCTTTGACAAAGGAACAAAGTACACTGAATGGGGAAGCCATAGTCTCTTCGATAGATGGTGCTGGCAGAACTGGTCATTGATAAGCAAAAGATGGAAACAAGTCCTTTACCTCATGTCATATACAAAAACCAACTCAGCATGGATCAAAGACCTAAACGTGAATCCCAGTTTTATAAAGGTCATAAATGAAAAAATAGGGACAAATTTAAGGGCTCTGATAAAGGGCACACAGACTACCAAACATTGCGAAAACTACACAAACAAAAGAAGACAAAATAGATGATTGGGACAGTCTAAAAATTAGAAACTTATGTGCATCAAAGGATTTTACCAAAACAATAAGAAGGGAGCCCACAGAATGGGAAAAAATCTTTTGCAATGACATTATCACACAAAGAACTAATTTCTAAAATCTATAGGAAACTACAACACCTCTACAAGAAAAAGACAACCCAATTTAAAAAATGAGCACAGGATATGAACAGACACTTCCCCAAGAAAGAGATTCAGGCAGCCAACAAACATACAAATAAATGTTCACGGTCATTAGCCATTGTTGTTGTTGTTATTATGTGCCATGGAGTCGGTTCTGATTCATAGCGACCCTGTACAGGGTTTCCAAGGCTGTAAATCTATGGGAGCAGAAAGCCTCATCTTTCTCCCACAGAACAGCTGGTAGTTTCGAACTGCTGACCCTGAGCATAGCAGCCCAATTCATAACCACTACGCTACCAGAGCAAATCAAAACAACAATGAGATATCATCTCACACCAGCCATAAACAGTGAAGTTCAAAAAAGTAGAGGACAATGAATGCTTGCAAGGATGTGGAGTGACTGGAACCCTCCTACATCGCTGGTGGCAATGTAAAATGGTTCAACCACTCTGGAAAACAATATAGCACTTCCTCATTAAGTTAGAAATAGAAATACCTTATGATCCAGCAATTCCTCTACTTGGTATAATATCCACAAGAAATATGAGCCGTAACACAAGTAGATATATGCATACCAATGTTCACAGCAGCACTATTTACAACAGCAAAAAGATGGAGACAGCCTAAGTGCCCATCAATGGAAGACTGGATAAGCAAACTTTGGTACATACACACAATGGAATATTATGCTACCCTGAAGAATACTAAGGAAGCTGCAAGCCACTGCATAACATGGATGAACCTTGAGGACATTATGCTGAGTGAAATTAGTCACAAAAGGACAAATACTGCATAAGACTAATATTGTAAAAGCTTAAGAAAAGATACCCATACAAAAGAGGAAAAAAATTTCTTTGTTGGTTACCAGTGGGAGTACAGTGGGGGGTTAGGGGCTGGAGGGTGGAGAGAGGGGAGCACAGGGTAGTGGGTAGACACATCATAGTTCAGGTGTTGGGGGGGGCAATACACAAGAAGGCGGAAGAACAAGGAAGATAGGGGAGCCCTGAGGCAGGTTTGCAAGGGTTAAATGGGACAGAGGTAAATAGTGATGTTCAACTTTGGAACAACAGGGCTCTGTGATATAGGGATTGAGGGATAGAACAGGGGAAATAATGTTAAGATGCTTGACTGACTTATGAATATTGGTTTCCCTTGCCTACTATTGTAACATAGACATTTGAGTGGGATAAAAAGGAATGTCGGGAAACATGATTACAGAAAGTTTGTAAGTCTGTCTTCAGCCTATAATTGATTGGAATACCTAAAAGGGGTTCTAGAACTTTCCCAGTGAAATAGGCTTCTTGTGGAGCCTCTGCAGTGTATAGGACCCTAGGTGGAATCCTGAGCCCCATCCAGAACTTCCTGAGGTGGGACATTCCCGCTAGAAAGGACAAGCAGACCAGCCTGAAACAGCTACAGCAATAGATACATCTTCAAAGAAAGATCAGCAAGAAAAATCCAAAACAAATGGCAGTATGATTGGTACTACAAGAATAAGCAAGTTGTTTGCTGGGGAGCCATCAAAGCAAGCTATCAAGTCCCTTCAGGACAAACCCCCCTCCAAGACTGAAACTCAAAGGGAACACCTAAGCAGGCATGTAAGCTTTCTGGTGACCATATTGGTCTATTGGTGACTGGAAGATGGGGTAAAGGCAGTCATGAAGAAATGTTCTGGTTCAACCACACTTCATAGACTCCTGTTGACTTGGAATGAGAGAGAGAAGAGGAAGGGCTGGATTGTCTGAGGTGTGGTGAGACCTGGAGACACCTGAGCCCATAGACAAGGATATTGCCACGGAGGGCTAAAGCTGAGAGTGAAGCATCCTGCTGATATGAAGTGAGGGGAGATGCACAAGAACACCCAAACTTGCATATAGTACCCATTTGACCTAGCCTCGATGGCTTGATAATCAGAACTTGACTAGAGGAAGATAAATACATATATATATATATATATATGTTGTTGTTGTTGTTAAGTGCCGTCGAGTTGGTTCCTACCCATAGCGACCCTGTACAGGGTTTCCGAGGGTGTAAATCTTTACGGGAGTAGAAAGCCTCATCTTTCTCCTGCGGAGCAGCTGGTAGTTTCGAACCGCTGACATTAAGGTTCGCAGCCCGATTCGTAA